TTGGTCATTTTTAGCAACTAGCAACTGTATCTTCAGCTTCTTTCTTGTGGTCCTTGAGAACATCTGCTGGGAAGGGGGGGGTGGGTGGAGCCCCTCCTTTCCTTCTCTTCTTTGGCATTACAACTTTTAACTATTAACTGTTTTATTATTCTCAAATATTAATTACTGTATCAATATTGATTACTGTTTCAATTTTTATCAGCACGAATCATACCTATTTATCACAAGATTTAGTTTTTTTCTTTTCCTCTATATGACTTCAGAGTAATTTACAGAATTTTAAAATTTCAAAGTGATATGGATATGATGGAAAACATTTTAATTCTCTTATGAAACCACAAATTTTTTTAAAATTTTATATTTATTTGCTGTTCATTATGAGATTTTGGTGTAAGTTGCAAAGAATGGTGTTGTATAAAACTAATTTCTTAGTTCTCAGGGCTACTTCTTAATGCAAATATTTTGTGCAATTTGTGAAAGACTTAGCAGCCTTTAAAATAGCAAGTGTTCTATTAGACTGGCAACCTTGTATATTTGATCTACTTAAAAAATCATAGTACCTTCATTTATATCTCTTAGAAGTGTTTTGCAGAATCTCCCTTGGAACTGATTTTGCAATCTGCTTAGGAGAATGTATCTCAATCTACACAAACATAACATTTTTTATTGATGTTCTGATAACTCTGACAGTTGATATTCTACTATATATATATATATATATTTCTTTACAATGTTCAGGCTTAGAGGACTAGCAGTACAATTCCATTTTCTAAAGCCAGTGTCAAATTGCAGCTGTGGTAATTGTTCACATGACAGGGTACAGTGAGTGACTAAACAAATTAATATTTTAGATTGACAAATTAATATATTAGATTGACAAATAAAGCACAGCACATCTCTGCTAGAGGCCTTAATGGTTTTATGATATAGGACACTAATCTTTGAAGCTCATCAAGTAAAAGTATATATGGTTAACTGTGTTCTTGTTTCTCCACAGTTTATAAGACTTAAAAAACTGCAGTTTGACTACCATGAGTTTCCCCTCTTCAGACAGCATCACTTCCAGGGAAGCTAATTGGTGAGGTCCAGTTCTGGATTTTTAAGTGTAGCAGTTTAATTCCTGCTTTTGTGGGTTATTTATTTTCTGGATGCCTGAAATGATGCAATTCAGGCTGAGGAAGAACCAGATATGGTGTCACACGTGCAAGCTGTCATAGAGTCATCAGGAGGTAGAGGTGGTTTCTGCCAGCATGCAGGAGCAATGCCCAGGAGGCACAGGAGGGTGTTCCACATTAATTGAGGTGTTAGAGGTTGGTTGTAAGTCTTACCATGACCCCTGTGTTTTATAAGTTGATAAGAGTTTGATCTTCGGCATAAGCTATTTGTCTCTCTTTAGTCTGTACAAAACTACCAGTTATATGGGAACAACAAAATTGCACAAATACATACTTTGGTTAGAAAATCAGACTGCAGACTGCTCCTTCAGGTGCAGAAGTTTAGCAAAATGATACTGCTAGCTACCAAGTGAAGGAACATTTCTCTCTGTTGCAAAACTATTCTGCATTTTCTGCCAGCTGTGGAATTGAAGCTAGTGAAAAGTTGCTTTTCTGCAGTGGTCAGTGTTGGCTGTATCCAGCAGACTTGTGAAGTGAACACTGAAAATTTAGGTTTTGAGCTCCAAAATACCTTCTGCAACACAGAACTCAGAAGCTATTTCATCTTCTCATATGCTTTGTTGAAGACTCATAGAGTCCTGCAAAAAATGGTCTTAGATAAAGGCTGTAGCTGGTAGAAAACATATTTCAGTTCAAAACCAAGGGTTGATGAGCTAGAAAATGGAAGCAGAAAATATACTCTGAATTTTGTTAGACTGCAAATTGTGCATGTTTTGAAACTTTCCAGGGAGTTTGTATAGTTTTGTCTTTGAATCTTCTGAGAGCTTTATGGTTGTAGGACTTCTAGCTGTTACATGAAAATGGATGGAAAAATCTCCTACAAGTGGTGGTAGGAAGCTTTCATAAAGTACTGCATTTGCTGGCCATGCTGTGACAACTAAAAAAAGTAACAGAAACAAAATTTTGACAGAAACAAAAATTGTAATTTGAAAACAAAACAGGCTGGTTTTGTTTCAGAACAAAAAAGGCTAGTTTCTATTTTATTTGAAAATGTTTAAGTAGACAACCAAAATGAAGTGGCTAACATAGTAATAATTCAGCAGTTCTGTCACTGGATGGCTGGGGTTTTTTGTTTTGTTTTTTGGGGGTCTTTTTGTTTGTTTGTTTTGGGATTTTTTGTTTGTTTGGGGGGTTTTTTGTTTGTCTGTTTGTTTTGGGTTTTTTTTCTGGTTTTTTTTTTTTTTGGTTGGTTGGTTGGTTGTTGGTTGGTTTTGGGGTTTTTGGGAGTTTTTTGGGTTTTTTTGGTTGGTTTAGTGTTTTTTGGTTCTATACTCAGCCAAAAATTTAGGGTTTTCTGATATATATGTTTGAGTTTCCACCAATGCCTTGTGAGTTCAGAAGCTGTGCATAAAATGCTCTTTCAAAAAGGTGTCTAATACTTTTTTTTGCCAGTACTTAATATTATGTTCTCTGTTTTAGTGCTCTAATACACTTTTCATTTTCATAGCATCCTTCATTTGCTAATGCTCATGTTGTTGTATAATTTGTGCTTGGTATGGTTTTGTTTATTTTATTCCCCCCACCCCCCCCCGATTCAGTTAAGCAGAATAGTTAATTGTACAGTTAGTTTCTCCTCTGAGTAAGTTTTAATGTGTAGGTGTTTCCACTATGATTTTTTTGTTGGTGGACATTTAATAGAAAAGCTGGAAGAAACAGATTTCTTTATCTCTGTCTGCCATACAAACCACTGTAATTTAATTAAAGCCTTAAATGTTTTTACAAAAAGTAGTTGTTATCTTGCTTTCATTCTGTGTGGTCTCCATGAAAATGATACTAAATCTTACCAAGTTTAAAGAAGCCAAATTACTCCCCTGCTGCCTGCAGACCAAATAAATGGTTACCCTTTCCATGGCTCTTGTTTCTCGGACCAGGTCTTCCCTGGTTTTCCGTTTGGGTTTAGCTTTTCCCCCTTGGTGCTATCTGGCTTTTAGCTATTTTCAGCTGAGATTGACACTTCATTCATCATCTCTGAGTAAAATTACTTGCCTTTATTTCTTCTGTGTTTTCCTCAGAAAGGGGTGAAAAAAGGGTCTCTCAAACCTATTACATAATGTCCACAAAGAAAATTTTATTCAGCTTATAGATGCTCTGGCTGTTCAGGTTCTACTTATTTCCAGATCTTCTTGTTGCAGTAGCTGAATTGCATTAAACAAAGTGATTTTAATTATTGCTGATCTCTTGCACTTTGAGTCATGTTGCTTGCTCTGGGTATGGCTCTGGTAGTATGTACTGAAAACCAATAATGAGCTTGTGGTTTTCTTGCAGTGCATGAAGGTTTTAATGATTCTTACCTCCTACATTTATTAAACACATAAAATATTTTAAGAACACGGCACCTTGTGGAACAATTTCTGATGACCTATAGCTGTTTTGATCTCACAGATGCAGTCTGTCTTCTTTTCAAATGGGACTGTACTTAGTATTATTCAGTTTTAAAATATTTATAGTCTGCAGATAAAAACCTGAAATTTCATCCTTTAATAGTAGTAAGGTCTTTAAAAAAATTTAAGTTACCAATCCGCTTGTTGATGGCATTTGTATTGGTTTTGCCAGTCAGAAAAAATATTTGAGAAAACATATGTCATCAGGTAACTTTTTGGTCATGAAAAATGTTACTTGTGCCTACACAAATCTAGAGGTAAAGTGGTCACTTTTTATTAAGAAAGATCTATTAATTAAATGCCAGTATGGTGTCATTTCTGTAAAAAATACTTCATGTAGACGAAGGTATGGTATTTTAGTATTTATGTTTCTGTATTATATGATACCAATTTTGTAGTTAATTCAATAATATTTCTTTTATTGGTGTATTTCCCATTTATTGCTCATAAACTCTTGCACTTTTGTGTGGAGAAAGCAATTATTGCAGTCTTACATACTTGAAACAATGTGAAAACCAATATATATCAAATAATGGGAATATTGATTTTCAAGAACTGAAATAGCTTAAAAGTTTTGAAGTTTGAAGCTATAATTCACTGAAAATTATTTAACTAGCTAATAAATATGTATTTTATTATACATATTTATATACATATTATATATGTGCCTATTTATGTGTGTGTATATATGTATAAATTTGTATATTCTATGTATAAATTTTTCACTTCATATGTAGAAACTTAACTTTCACTCTTTTTATTGTTTGTGGTGCTCAAGGGCTGATTCTGCTAATTGCCAAGTAGATTTTGTTTTAACTGAAATAGCAGAGGAAATTATGATAAAACTGGGTAGTTTGGAGGACTAAACTTTAATTTGTGTTATGTTTGTGATTATTTACATGATTTTCATTTGAATGTATGTATCTCTGAAGACAAAGTGTGTAAAAGAGAGGCTTTTTTCCACATCTCTATGTTTGTTTCATGACAGAGATGGTTTGGAGATGGTAACTCATGTTAAAAAATGAGACTTCCTGTGGACACAAAAAGCGTGCCAGTTGTTTTAACTTACATGATTGGAATTATGTTTTTAAGCCTCCTGGAAGTTAATTATCAAAAATTATGGAAGTTCATTATTGGAAACAAAGATACTGAAAAATAATAACGAATGTATTATGCTTAAATCAACTTTGTTAATCCAAAGGGAATCTCTCTTTTAAGTTCCTGCTGCCACATCTCTCATATCTTGCAAAATAAGGAATTCTATGCAATCCTTTCTTCAAAGAGCAACAGCAAGAAGAAAACTGCACAAAATAATTTTACTTATGTGAAGGTTTAAAACTCTGGACCCATGATTGGGGAATTGAAACAAAGAAGCATTAAAACTTGAAAAGAATGCTCATGTTTTTTCAAAACACATTTTTCAGCTCTGGTAATGATATATAAGTTCACAGTTACCTCAGAATAGAAATCAATCAGAAATGGATCCTGTTGAACATCTGAGACTGAAAGTCCATAACCTTGAGGAAAAAAATTTGGAATTAAACAATCAACACAATCAAGAGGTAAGGAGGTTTGTTTGTTTGTTTGCTTGCTTCATTTTACCCTTGGAATGCATGTAATTTGTTTACTTGAAATAATCCTCTCATCAGGTGAATTAAAATCACAGTCACTAGTTGGAAAATAACAAAGAAGTAGCATTGTACAGACATCTCATGCCTGTCCGTAGGAACTGATACTATTTTTAGTGTCATTGCTGATAGTTGAAGGTGCATGTAAGAAACTTGAGCACTACACAACAGCAAAGTCATACAGAAGAATACTTGGCACCTCCAGCTTTGGAATTCTGAATATAAGATGTGGTTTGTTTCTTTGAGTGTTTTAACCCCAGTAATTCCAGGGATACATTTTACAGAATCACTTTACCATTGATGGAACAATGGGAGCATGACAAGAGGAAGCCGCTGTGTAAGAAGCAGGAATCTCTAAATAAATGGACAGGGTTCAACAAACTTGGTTTATTGCTGATATTTAGTCGAAAACAGATGAATGAGCACCCACACCAGCTGCCCTCAACTGCTAAGAGCAGAATTTTAACTTATAGCAGTAATAAAAATTCAAACTAAAGGAAATTTTAATGAAGTATTTTCTCACTGCTACTTCATTTAGGTACTAATTTGCCACAAGAGCATAAGGGAAAATCTTTGTAATGGGGTTAAATTATTTCTTATGAATGGAGCTCCTGTTAATAAGGATGCTGCTGCCTTGTAGATGTTCTGAAGAAACGCATGTTTTACTTTTCCACCTTCTTGCATTTAATGTGTTTAAGGTGGTTTCCTGGGTCAGTTTTTGGCAGCGCTGACTAGACTATCTTTCTTACACAGATAAGAGCTCTTTTTGAAGCCTTTTCTTTGTTCTGTTTGTTGTGTTTAATAGAATTCTGCCGTTAACTGCTGTGATGACTGCTGAACATCATTGAACTGAAGTTTGTGTTTGCGTAATGAGTTACTAGGTGTCTGATAATCTAGTATCCCAACACAATGTTTTTCTAGTTGTTAAATACAGTTACCAGAAAATTTCCTGTGGAATATAATTATGACTTTTATTTTCTTAAGGCAGAGTATGTTTGGAAAAACAGAGGGGTATATTCAAGGTACATGCACATGATAGAGGAACAGGATCAGTTTGCATTTAAAAAAAAAGTATTTACAATGTGTAGTTTCAAGACTGTATTTCAAATTCAGATGGATATGATGGCAGCTGTGAATGCAATTTCCAAAATCTTTATTTTCTAGGTCTCTCACTGTGAAAAAGAAGTAATGAATTTAAGGTCGGAACTCGAGAAAGGAGAGGTTCTTCGCCGAGATCTTCAGAGTGAGATGTCGTTAGCTAGAAAGATGTCTGAAATACAGCTGTATTCTGCAGAGGACAAGCTATCTGATGTAAAAAGCAAACTTTTGGAACTGCAAGGTAATTTTCAAAGGAAAAAGAGAAATTGTAGACTAGAGGCTATATCAGTCCCAAGTCATTAAAACAAGCAGAGATTGCACAAGGTTTTATGGTTACAGCATTTTTTGGAAGTGTCATATTTTCCCATGTCTTACTTCTCTGTTTCTGTAAGCTCATAAGAGTTTACAAAACCCTTGATGTCTCATGTGAATTGAATATAAGCTGCTAAAGCTATCAGTACCTTTTTTCCCTCTGGCTCCTTACCGTCTGTTATTCCTTCCTTCAGTGTGTACAGAATTGTAATTTAGGTGTCCCTCTCCATATCTTGCTTATCACTATGTCCAGCAGTTCTTCCTTTTACATTTCAGGGGGGAAAAAAATGCAGTCCTGTTTAAAATTCACACTATTTCCTTTCCGAACCTCTCCGAACCTCTCGTCTCCTCTCCGAACCTCCCCTCCCCGAACCTTCCCTTCCCCTCCCCACCAGGAGTTCTCATAGTACTGCTTTGTTCTTTCATATTTTCAAATATTTCTAGCTTTTCATTGCTCATACCTGATCTCTTTTTGTCATCTTTGGTTTTGTTTTTATACAAGTAACATGTCTTATGACAGTAGTCTGCAGAAAGGAAGGGTTTTACCTGCACATTTTTTCCCCTACTTGCTTTGCATTCAGAAGCTCAAACTTTCTTAATCCTTCTCAAACAGAGTTATATTTCTCACACTTAAAACCCGGGGAGATGCATTTTTTGTTGTCTAAGTAAGTAAAGTACTCTTTAAATTTGGTACAGGAGATGTACTTGTGAAACTTAGGTGTTCAGTGAAAAGACTGGAGCATTCCTGGAGTTTGTAACCTTACAAGAATGGAAGGAGACTTTCAAACTTGCCAGTGCATTATATGGCCTGATTTTTTAAAAAGATAACAAGAAATATGCACTTTCACTTATTTGGAGAACACACAAATTATACAAATCTTATGGTTGGTTTAAATTTCTCAAATTGTTTTTGTTTGGTTGAGGTTTTTGTTTGATTTGGTTTTTTGTTGGGGTTTTTTTTCTGATTTTTTTTTATTGTGACAAATGTCAAAGAAGCCTAGTGTCGAACAAACTAGTTCTGGTGTTGCTTCTCATTTCTTTTTAATTTTTTAACTTAGCACTTCTTTATTCCTGGCCTCTTGGAGCCTTGTTCACCTCATGGGGTGCTTTTGATACAATCCCAACTTAACTCTTGGACAGAGCACCTCACTTGTGTCCTGTCTTTAGTATTTTCTCCAGACTGTTTTTCTGTTGTTCTTGAGGCTTGACTTCCTAACATGTGACAGGTTTTCCCCATCATTGTGTCCACTAATTCTCTGTGTTTTCCCACCACATCTCTTCTTGTTGTTTTACCCTTCTCCAGCTAGGAAGAAATTTCAGAAGAATGGGATGAATTTGAAGTTGAAATCTATTAGAAAATGGTGAATAAACACCATTTTGTAGAAACACCAACATAGCTTGTTACACTCAGTAATGTAAAGGGCTAATACAAAATATTTTGACCCAAAAGCCAGTTTGTGAAATGAAGCAAAGTCCCTACTAAAACTGCTTATAGGAAAAGAACTTTTCCTTGGCATTTAAGCTTTCACAGAGAAATAGATGGCAGTGTTTGCCTATCTTGGGGCAGTTTCTGGGCTGAAGATTCAAATCTCTTCAGCAGGAGTAAATTTCCCCAGAAAAGCCAAGCCTTTGCTTATTAGCCCAACCTGCCTTAGGTTTTCCTACAGTCTTTTTCATGTGGCAGGTATCTGTATTTGCTGTTACTTAAACTGAGCTTGAAATTAATTGATACAGACTAAAGTTTCACATAGACATTTGGAAATAAGCTAGCTAAGTGTTGCAGAAAAACGCAATTAAGTTTCCCATGTTGTAGAGGCCTCACATGAAAAAGTTGAATTTTTATTCCTTTCCAAAGGGAGAAGAGCTTTAATTTGTAAAAATTTCCAAAGCATTTCTGTGTCCTTATGTGAAAGATGCTACAGGAATACAAAATGTGATTGTTTCTCTGTAGTGAAAACGGAAGTGTTAATGCTCCAGTGTATAATAGGATATCACAATACACAGATTTTGTATTGTGAATTTGTATTCATTATACCATTTTTCTCTTTTTTTTCTGAGCATGCTTATTTGCAGTGCTATTTGTCTTATCCCCCCCACCCCTTTTTTTTTTTTGTAAACAACAGCACTCAATGACAAATACCAGCAGAAAGAAGCAGAGACTGCGGAAATGATTCAAAGTTCTCAGTGGCAGTGGCAAGAGGAACAGCGAAGATTTGCAGTGGATAGAGATAACATCCTCAGAGAATACCTCGGTAGAATGGAATTCCTTATTAAAGAAAAAGCTGAAAGAGAAAGGGCTTGTAAGGTATGGTGTATTAATAGATGGAAAGTTTCATTAGATGTTGACTGAAAGTTTTGTGGTGCAAAGTGTGGGGTGGGTTGAGGTTTTTCTGGTTTAAGGGAAAAACAAAATCCAAATAGCTAAATACTGCAGAATACTTCTGAAGATTACAGCTTTATGAAGTTACACTTAGTGTGTAATGCTGATTTGGGGCTTTGATGGAATGTGTTGTGGCTGTTTGTCATGGTAAACACCTAACCCACGTTATCAGTATACAGTGGTAGTGAAAACAGAGGGGCTTGTGGACAGGACCTAAGGTTCTTCTCAAGACAAGCAGAAACACAAGTCAGTTTTCATTCAAAGCTGATTCTTACACAGGTAGGGCAGGATATAGGCTGTGAACAAGATAGGTTTTCTTTTTTAGTTGCCAGGTGGAGCAGGGTAAGCTCTGAGTTCTGGCTAACAGTAAGTGGTTGAATTAGTTTGAGGAGGCTCTGGAAGAGTATTGCATTCTGTTGTGTACAGTGTTTTATAGAAGCTACCTTCAGAGAGTTTAGTGCTGCATCAAAAGACCAAAGCTGAAAAAGTATGCTATGCTCTGTCAAGCGATATTTGTCCTTGAAAAAAGGACAAAAGAAGCAGCATATGGCTCGGGACATTGTGTTCTCTGTCAGTTCCCTGGCAGTGTTCTCTGCCAGTGGTTGTAGGGGCTTTGTTGGTTAGTGTATTAAAGCTACAAAATTGAAATGTAATTAACATGAGTAGACTAAGATTGCCATGAATACATGTAGCTCATTAAACAGGTCAGTGTGAGATGTAGGGTTTCAGAATCTTGACATTGCTGAATTCAGAAGTCTTCCAGAACTTTCAAAACTCTCTGAAAGGAAAATGTGATTCACTGCTAGGTGCCAAACCCTAACCTGCCTTCAGCAGTAAAAATGTTTCTCCTTTGCTTTTGTAGCTGTTCCCCTGCCCACCACTCTACATATATGTATGTATAGTTATAAAATTCTGGGAAATAAAGAAATGCTACATCTGGACTTGGCTGCATTAATTGTTGCTTGAAAGCTTAGTTCATTTAAACTTGTCATAGAAACATCAGAAATATCTGTGTTTATAAATTGTGTGTTTGAATGTGTTGCCGTCTTTTATGTTGAGTATTTACAGGCCTGGTTTATATCTCCTTTAGTTATTCTGAGTTATAAAATGAAAGCTAAGGAGATTTCATGTGGTCTTAAGACATGCAGAGAAGTGAGATTCTGAGCATATAGGCAAATCCTGGCTGGAAAAACTGCACAAACTGTAATTCTGGTTGTGAAAATGCTGAAGTAGGCACGGCAGTCATAGAATATTTGAAATGTGTGTCTGAAACACGCCGGAAAAGTAGTCCTCTGCTTTATGACAGGTTCGTGATGAGCTCTGTTGGGCATATCCTGGGCCGGAATAGGAAGGTTGGATTCGATAGGACGGGCAATAGCATCACCTTGTGGTTAGAGAGGAGATCATATCCCTGAACGGTTTTTTCCTTAAAATACTTGGGAGATTGTGTCGTTTGCACACAGTAGAAAACCAACTAACCAAAACAAAGCAAAAAGACCCCAGCCGTGTCTTTCATGAGCAAATATTTTCAGGTGGCTACGGGGATAGTATTAATTAAACAGTTATGCCGCCTCCAAAAAGTTCAGAAATTCTTCAAAACTCTGAAATCCTGCAGGTCATACTGACTTGTTTAACAAGCTTCATATATGCATGACAATTTTAGTTTGCTGATTTTAATTATATTTCCAGTATAAAATGTTTTAAAATTTTTATAGTATTTTACAGCAAAATATGTATTAATTATTTCCTATTTCCCAGTTCAATTTTGTTAATATCTGAAAGATAAACTTGAAGAAATAAATATTTCTTAATCTTTCCAGGTATATATATTCATAGAAATTGTTAATTTTGAATTCTTGATTTACTTATTTATTTATTTTGCATTCTGAAGGGGAGAAACCTGTCTTGCTGGACTTGCAAAGCTAGAGGATTAGCTTAAATTTGATCCAAATTCATATGGACTATGGGGATTTTGTAGCAGTGACTTCACAGAGCTGCAGAGTCTAGTAATGTCAGTAATTCTCCCAACCTGTAGATTAGTTGAGTTTCTGTATGCAGAAATTGACGTGGGGACCATCTTATTTTATTCTACTGAGGGCTTCATATTTCTTAAGTTTTTAAAGTAATTCAGTTTCTACAAAGAGGAAAATCCTTTTCAGAAAAGCAGAAAATGAAATTATTTGGTCTGTGGGAGTAATTGTCTCTCAAAACATCTGAAGTTTTAGCAATTAAAATCATAACAAAAATGAACGTTTGTCCCCATGTCCCCGTTCCCCATAATTTCCCCAAATGCACCTTGTTTCTAGCATTGCCATTGAGCTGGGACACAGAAGAGATTGGAAGAGCTGTGCTCTTTTAGGGAAAGATTTCCTGTGGAGATCTGGCTCTGATTTTAGTGTTAACACAGAAGGTCATGTTCACAGTGATTTTTGGGCCTACAGAGATTTCTTGGTGGTCAATTAAAAGCATGCCTGCTATTGGGTAAACACTTCTGTTGACATGTACTGGCATCTGAGATTTTAAAATTCTAACATCATCATCTGATGTGGTCTCTCCTCCTCTGTTGAGTATTGAGCTCTCTACTGCAATACTTTATCTTAGAAAAAGTACCTCTTGATATATTTATTTGTTCATGTACCTATTTATCTTTAGGAGACAAATGCTGCCCTGAACAGCATTGCCAGGAAGTTGAGGGATATGGAGGCAGAACAGGATGCCTGCAGCAAGATTGTGAAGCTCCAGGCCAAGTGTCTGGATTTCAAGAATACACGACAGGAGTATCTCATCAAAGAACTGGAGGTAAAGCTTTCTGCCTGCTGCTGCAAGCACTGGCACAACTGAGCAGTTTCATTTTTGAAACCTCTGAGTTAGGCTATGAGTGCCTTGTGTTTGATTAACAAAATATGGAGCATCAGTTCACAGGAAAGGTGGATTCACAGGTGAATGCTGTGAGCCTGACCTGAGACTGGTGTTCGAACTGCAGATGGAAAGAGGTTTATATCACTGGGAAAGTACTCTTAGCAATATAGAGGCATAGAGGGAGTATTTGTGCGGGATTTGTGAATTTTTAAAAAAAATATTTAAGCATGTTAAGCCCATTGATTTTGTGGGAGGAGGCAAAGCTTAAGCCTTTTGGCTGGTGCTTTTGTGGAGGGGGTTTGGTGATCTCAGTGCTGTGACTTTTTCTTTAATAGGCCTTCCACAGATCTCTGTTTCTCAGTTATTTCCTTTTGTGAATATGTGAGATTATACAGAGTTTAAATTTATTGCCATCAGCTTGTATTTTAATTTATTTATTTATTTATTTTTCAATTAGTATTTCCCTAACTGAAGTGCTTAGAGTTAGGATTCAGTCTCACATACTTGCTACTTTGCTTTACTTGTCCAAAACCAATGACTTCATTTGTATCTGTGTAACTTAAGGTGTCTCAAAAGACTTTTAATATTAATGCCTTTTTCTTGGTCTTTGTTGCATCACTTGAAGGCAGGAATCCTTTTGGAGTATATTGTTCTTTTCAAATCAGTCATCAGTCTAAGTGAAAATATTTTTTTGATAGGAAACAGTGTAGTTAAAATTGCATATGAATTTCTATTATAGCACCTCTGTAGTTACTGCTATTGCTAGAAGCATTTTTTCAATTGAAATTCCATGTCCAGGCATTTACATGGGGATAAGTATCCGTGAGTATAAAAAATGCAGCAAGAACATAATACTACATAAATTCTTTTAACTAAACAAAAATTTTTATTTTAATATTCTGGATATGTAATGATTTCCTTTCATTTGTTTATTGACATGAGTTTTCACAGTTCCAAAGTGCAAGTAGTTCAGATACCACAGGTTGGTTTATGGAGACCTAATAAACTGAAGAAATTAAGTTGTCTTTGCATGATGTTATCATCTTTCTGGACTTAAATATTTTCAAAATGTACTTTTAGGCAGAGACAGTGAAAATAAAGAAACTGGAGGAAGATGCTGCAGCAGCAAGATTAGCACATATGCAATGTAAATCTGCTACAGAAATCATGCAGGTAAACTTTTAGTTAAATATTTGGTAGAAGTTTACAATGAAACAGGAAGCCTTCCTTGCTCCAGTGAAAACACTGAGTAGATTTTTTTGCAATGATTGTCAAGACTGTAAAAGGTAATAGAAAAATATCTCCTTTTTTCAGGGGACTATCAAGTTAATAGAATAAATATTAAAATAAAATGTCACATTCTTATGTTTGAGAATTCAAAGTAGCATTGAAACAGTGAGGGGAAAGGAAATGTTTCACAATAGTTAAACTGTTAAAATGTTCTGCCTTGTATCTTTGGAATGGGTACTTAGATAATTTTGGAGATACAGTGCATACATCCAACTTTTCTAGGTGTGAGATATTAATAAATCCTGAGACTGCAGTTTCACATTTCAACTGAGTACATTTTGGCTTCAAAGCTATTATATCTGCAGTTACCAGAGCAGTTTGAATACATGGAAAAATGTAATATGTATACTTGTATATTAAATTCTTCTGTTATTAAACTGTATCACACAGGGTTTGATCCATTAAAGCAGTTAGGGTTTATTTTAAAAAACAAGTACAAAAAACCTGTAAGATAATTGCTGAGTGATCTCATACTGACTAACAAAGCCTTCACACTGGACTTTTGAAAAACCATATGAGAAAACAAGAAGGAATATCATCTTTTATTTTCTTGTTTTCTGAGTAACACCAATAAGCATTGACACTTTCTCAGTTATTTTCTTATGACCTTCTCTAAGTACAGTCACTTAGATTTCTGATTTGATGCTTAAATAAGTAGTGATGATTCAGTTTTCTTGATTCCTTCTCTACTTCTACAACATACAAAGGAACTGGAGGGTAGCACTCCTTGAAGTTAGATATTTATCTTTTATAGGTGAAGAACTGGTAAGGTTTTCTTCCTTGTTTATGTACATGAACAAGCTCCATATGTGCTTTGCTTTGAGTGCAAGTGTAGTGTTTACTGTTAATTCCATGCTTTTACGAGTCTGCTTAAAAAAAAAAATTCCTCTCGAAAACTTCAGTAATACAAATAATTGAAAAGAGGAAAATCCAAACTCCATGAAAGGACAACAAACTGTGCTTTTGGTCAGCATATCTATTTCTCTCTGTTTTGAACTTTATCTATTAATATGTTTTTACATTGTTCAACGCTTTCTAATTCCATATAGAATTAATAGAATGTATTCAGCTCTGAAAGGCAGAACAGAACAGCAAACAGCAGTAAAGACCATGGTAGTCTTTCCTAACTTCCTTTAACTGCTTCCTTATAACTTGGTAGTTGAGAATTCAAGAACTTGAAGGCGCTTTGAATGAAGAGCAACGCGGCAGGAGAGAAGCTTTTTCAGGGGTATCAAGAAAAGATTTCAGAGAGTCAGAAAATGCACATGAGAGAGGAAAAAAAGTGTAAGTTTCCTTTTAAAGCTGTTGTGAAGTGGCAGTAGACAGCTTGAGTACAACTTGTAGTTTACATTCCCTGCAATTTCCAGTCATCAGAAAATCTAGTGCAATGTGCCAAACCAAACTAAAGGTTCAGAACCTGGCAGTCCATTAATAACAGGCCCATATCAGTAACCAAAGGTATTGTGAATGGTACAGATAATAACTAGCCTGTTACAGATCATTTGCCAAATAAAAAATTTTGAAATTCATAGTTATGGTAGGGTCCAGCCTCCAGTAGTGGTTGGGGTGAGTGTAGGAAAACACAGCCAGCAGGTCTAGAAAAGATGGCTTTTCTGTATACACTTACATTATTATGAAGATGTTATTTTCCACTTATATGATTCAGTTGAATCTCTAAGATTCTGTCAAGAAGTTGTATATCATTTATAGTGGGTAATCTTTGTTTTCAACTTTGGAATGGCTGTTGAAAGCTTTAAATGGTTAAAAAATACTGAAATGTGTGAGAGCGGAGGAAATCTCTTGGGATGTTTTCTGCCCAGCACAGTCTGCTGTGTCTGTGGTAACAGAACTTGGGGGACCTCCCTTTCAGCCTAGAACTATATGGCTCTGTATACACAGGTGTTTATGTTGACTTACACAAGTAGTAGTGGAGAATGAAAGAAACTGTTTTTTGCTACAAGAAAGGAAGTTTGTGGCCTGAGCAACTCATACAAGATACATGGTTAGGGAGATGTTTTTTAGTAAGATACTTAAAACTTGAGCTGGAAAAGCCTTTGTCATCCTCTGCAAACATCAATTTTAAGCAAACTTTTGGTTTTCCTGACACTATGCCTAAATACTCAGGCAATCTTTTAAAATTCTTCCTTGGATTCCTGTCTCTGCTTCTGTCTCCTTTATATTATTGTTTGGCCTTGTAGTTTCCTCATCAGCTGCCTGTTTAGTCATGCCAGGCACTTGATATATCTGTTTTCCTGACTGACACAGTACAAGAACAGATTAAAATTCTGGGCAGTCTGCTTTAAAAGTCACTGCAGAGTAGAGACAGGCATGTGGAAACCTTAAGAGCAAGAACTGTACTTGAAATCAGGATTGATGATGCAAGATGTGACATGGTCTCTCTGAAGACAGCTGTTGTTTTAATTAAAATATGAAGAATTCTGTTTGTTATATTTAACTTTGAGGTCATATCCAGATAATCTTATGAATTGCATGTCACGAGGCTTGGTAGCTGAAAATATAACCTCTTGAAAAATCTTTCTTAGAAGGAATATAAAGTTCTTCATTCAATTAAGAAAGGCAAGCAGTTTCAGAATCCATGTGGTGTGCTAAAGTGGTATCTGCCCAATTCATTGATTATCCTTTAAAAGAACACAGTGCATTTGCCAAAAGTAATTTTGGTTAAAGTATCTTTTTGTGGAAACTTTCCAGTTTACGAAGACAGCGTTTATCCTCTGGTGTGCAATGGAAAGACCAAGTTGAGGAAAGAAAGGAAACTAAAGAATCCCCTGGGACATTAGTGACTCCTCCTGGCAACTTCAGCCTGCACGAAGGCTCAATAGTAAGGAAAAAATGTGGCACACATTGTTTAGGTGTTTTTTAAAACATACTGTCAAAATATTTACTGTGCTGAAGATTTGCTGCATTTGCTGTGCTGAGCTGTGGAAGAGCTCTGCTATACTCTTACCATTTTTGTTCATATGCTACCTTTAAAAAATTTAATACGTGAATAAATGTAACAAATGCCTTGGAGAAGCTAATTTGAAAATGTTTTTTTTAAGTATGGGTAGGATATACTGGCATTTCTAATTAAGGCATTTTTTAGATATGGGTTGTCATTTCACGTGAAGAATGTTCTGTCTTTCTACCCAACTTTTTTGTCAAGTTTCATTAGCTCCCATTGTAGAAATGTTTATTTCTATTTCATACACTCTTTTAGTTTTAGTGCAAGTATTTGACTGTAAAAATTGCTTGAAAATTATTTCAAGCTTTCAGATGGAAAAGCAGAGGGGATTTTTTGTTGCTGTTTTGTTTTTTGCATGTTTTGCTCTGGATTTGGCACATTGGATGTATTTCACTGGCTTATTTTCTGAAAACTTTCTCCTCTTATATGACCACTTTGGGCCTTTCTACTGTCTTTACTCAACTACACCTTGAATAACAAATTTCCCATCTTTTTGCATAGCAGCATGGACAAAGGAAAGTTCTTAGCATGTTTAGAAAATCTCTCTTTTCATAGTGTGGTAACATTTGCTCTCTTTCTACTCTTAGCAATATAAATATTTTTTTGCTGGTGGCTTGGAAAATTCTCCTCTTTCTCTGTCCGAGCTCTGAGCATGGAAGGTGCATGATGTCTGTTCCCTGTGGACAGGAGCCAAGACCTGCATCAGATAGTCTTCAGATTTGTGGGTGTCTTTTGTTCAGATGATGGAGTTATTCCACACTTTGTCTTAGTGCTGTCCACTGCCCAGGCAGATCTGAAGACAAGTAAAATCAGGATCTTATTTTTTCTTTCTGGGAGAATAACAGGTTCTTCCATGCAAGCAATAATGTATTAAAAGACATTTGCTGGCCTAGTTAGCCTGAAAAAGTAATTTCCTCAGGCACAAAAGGAATATATAGAGAGAAAAGCAGCTGTATGCCTTAACTATAGGCATTAATGATTGCTACTTATAACTACAAAACACAATTACAAGCTCAAAATATTATACTAGAAACTTAAAGTGCTTGCTGTTGCTGTGGTAGGAGTTTTCCTTTCTTATTCACATTCCTTAGTAAAATATGTATTACACATGACAAGAATTCAGGACAAGATTCCATTCATGATCAAGATTTCTTTTAATGGAAACAGTATTTAATGGTAGACTCAAAATTAATGTTATGTTACTGAAAGGTTAAAAAAAAAGGATTGTCTCACTGTCATATTCATGGAGGTGGTTGTTGTAATTGTTTTACTCAAAGGATTTCAAACCACAAGACTGTCCTGAGCAGGTGATAAAAATATTTGTTTTTGGAGGAGTTGTATTAGTGGTTCCCTTATGAGATCAGGTATTTATTTATTGCCTTGGATGGTTTTGCATTTTTCCCAAAGCTGTTTGTATTTGTTTGGGAAGCCTGTGTGTGATCTTGTTTACTCCATTGAGACAGCTTTGATTTTGCTTCTCAAAATGAAAAAGCAAAAGACTGTAGCAGAAGCTAAGTATAGATAACATTTAATATATTGCTGTTGGTCTTCGCTATACTCATGCTTAAACTGTGTAAAAACGTCAGTGCATTTCCTTCCCTTAATTTTCCTTTCATGCTTTCCTGATCTGTACAGTATTTTTCATATTTTATATCACTTCTATGCTCCCTATGTTCTTTTCACAGTAGTCTGATAATCTTATATTGATCTCTGACTGTACTGATACAGTCTTCATGGCATTTGAGAAACATTAAGATAACATTTCTATTAACTTAATCAAGGTAATCTAAGGCACTTGTATGTACTAAAAGTATGAAGAATTGAATTTCTACTGCATGATGTTGTTACTAAAATTTATTTATAACCTGAATCAATTTATTATACCACTGATTAAAATCACTGTAAATAAATGAGGCACAGCTTGTGGAGTTTGGTGGAGCTGTAGGACTATTTTGGGCGGGTATTTAATCATATATAATCCATGCAAAACAAAATTTTAAAATAATTTAGCATGTGTTGTGCTGCCAAGCCAACTGGACAGTTTTCTGTGTGTTGTGCAGGTGTTGGGGCACAGTTTGAATGCACCTCAGAGTATTAACATGGGTAAATGAACTGCATCCACTGAGAGCATGGAAATTTTTATCTGTGCCAGGTCATGATTGTGGCCCCCACAGGACTGGGATTTATTCACATACTTTATATACATACTGTGTCTAATTTGATAAATTTTGTGAAATCTATTTTCTTACTTTGCTGTAATATTATGCAATTATGGCTGCAATTATAAGAAATTAACTGAGGAGTTTTGTAAATCTGTGAGAATGAACTTTGAGGGCTTGTTTTCAGCTGCATGCAGCACTGCTACTACACATATGATGCATCTCTTTTGATTTTAGCATTGCCCAGATACAGCAAATAATTTTCCTTTGTGTTCCAGAGGGAGATGTCTATCCTCCTGAACTTATACCAGAGCATGGCAAATGCCCATGTGCTTACCAAACAGACAACTGTCCCCCTGGAACAGTTACCTTGGACAGAGCTGTGTGCACTCTTGCATGAGAATGTTGAAGCCCTGATCTTAAACTTCCACAAGGCTAACGAGAGGGTGAGTGTCCCCAAGCATCAGCTGCCTCTGCTGAGCTCAGTGACATTTGTTCACACTGCAGTCTCTTTAAAAAGGACCGATATTCATCGCCCCAAAAGGATTTGGACACTAACAAATAAACACCGTTTATTTTGGCTTGTCCACAGCTCAGTTTGATGCTGTTGCTGTGGGCCTTTAAATGTGACTGGAGTGTGCATCAAATCTCTCAGCTCCACCTTCTGTGCAGGATATTCTGAAAGGGCAATCTGATAGAAGCCACAGGGACCTAATTAAAAGACAATAAATTCATCTTACTGATGAAGAAATTCACTGAACATAGTCATTTACAGTCATAAATCAAGTCTTTATTTTACCATAATCCATTGGCAAAATACGCTTTCTCCAGAAATACCATTTTTAAATTATATGTTTATGGTTCAGATCTACTATTTGAAAGAATGCCAGTGTGGGGTTTTTTGTTTAATTGTAACTTTTGAATTATGACATTTTTAGAAATACCTATTATAAAACATGTCAGCATTTGTGTGAAGGAGGAGCTGTGCTTTTCTGCATGATAATAATAATGCAAGTGAGGTTACATGACATCTCCTCCCAGAAAACCTTGTGTTTTTAGGAAAATAAAACCACCCTTTTTAAATAAGTCAGCTGGCTCCAGAGACTAAGCTAAGAGTGGGTAAGCCACTCTTTAGGGTTTCACTTTGTTTTCTGGTTTATTTTTCTTTGGAAGTAGAAGAGGAAAGGGAAGTAAAGAGAAGGGAAGGGAGTGAATATTGTTGACAGTGTTTGTGGGGCTTGTATCTTTTTGTGCCTGCTTTTTAGTTAAGTATTTATTATTGAGACTGATCATGAGGTCTGTAGGGCTCTTCTCATGTTCTTAGCATCTTTTCTGGGATTTTAGACTGTGCTGAAAAAGCTTTTTTTTCCACACAATTCAGTGTGATCTATCTGGAAGTGTCTTGCTAATACTTTCTAGTAACAAAGTGCAAGTGTGTGCTTGTGGAGATCATTGTTGGCTTGGTTCATTCCTCCATTTAGTTTGCGTGGGATGTGCAGTGTTAAACCACAGGAGTGAATCCTTTCATACTTGTTGAAAACACATCATAAACTTATGAGCTATTTGTAAAGAAAACATTCTCTATGTTAGAATTCCCTGAAATTGTTTTAAAACTTAGTAATAATCTGGAATGTCTTGGCTTTTCAAAAAAACAAAAACCCAAAAAAAACCAAACCAAAACCAAAAAAATCCCCACCAAAACCCAAAAAACCCCAAACAAAACAAAAAATGCCATTTTTAATTATTGTTTGCAATCATCACAAACTTCTAAAGGATATACTTGGATTACTGATTTGCTAAAACTTGCTGAATTCGCTGAAATTAAATACAGTTTTTTAAAAAAGTGTTTTAAGTGCCTGGTTCAGGTTTCCTGCAGAGAAGGTGACAAATATCTGCAAGTATAAAATAAAGCACTTGTTTCAAAATATATTTCAGTTTTGTTTTGAGAACCAAGTAATTAATCTACTATGATGGGGTTTTCCATAGTTTTAATGAAAATATTAAAGAAATCACAGTTTAGGTTTTATGCTGAAATAGTCTGTGTTTAACTTAAAGTAAAAACGTAAATAATAATTTCTTCTTAAATTCTTGTCACACAGATATCTCACCTAGAACATACTTGCAAGCAAAAGACTGACACTATGAACAACCTTCTGGAGAACCAGGAGGATGCTTTTAAGAAAATGTCTGAAGAGTTTAAAGCACAGGAACATTTATGGCAGAAAGAAAAGCAATGTCTTGAAGAGCAGTACTCAAATCGCCTTGCAGAAATTCAAGCCAGAGCACAGGTATGGTGCTATGAACTTCTAATTTTTTTTCTTGTAACATTTAATGGATTATTTTAGTAGTTTAAGTCCCTTAGCAGTTTAAGGTCATTTGGGAATTAAAGTGTATTTTTAAACTAAAAAAACCACAAACAACAAACCAACCCCTTGCGGGATAACATTAACATCACTTTAAATAAGAAATAACTGATACTTTGTTGAAGCATTTGTTGAAGAGAATTTAGTCTACAGCCCCAACTGAGAAGCCTGATTTCGTCTACAGATGGTAGTGTTTTTTTATGAGAATGTTAAAGCTGTAAGATCGATTTTCCTTTTTTTAAGAATTACTGAGGGCAGTTGATACTTTTTCAGCATCATCGTGTGTAGAGATTGCATGGAGTAACAATAATGTGGTGTTACCTGTGGATCAATTTAGTTACTTATGTACTGACCCTAAGAACAGTGGTAGATTTCAACAATGTTAAGCGGCTCTGCTTTACTGATACTACAGTGAAAAGTGGTTTTAAAGTGTAAAACTGTCAGTGCTTGTTAGATGAGTTATTTGCAATCCAAAATGTTATTCCACAAAAACTATGCTGTCTTTACCATCCCATTCCTTCACACCTGTTTCAATTAAAAGCATTGTGAATAAAGGAAATAGATGTGCCTTTTTATTTGTGAGTTATTGCAACTTCACAGAATAATGCTGTATTTGATGCAGATTTCAGGGCTGTAAGTCTTTGCATGGTGAAAGCTTTAATTTGTGTAGTTTCATATTCCAGCCTTCCTTACATTTTTCCTTACACTGGTTTTCTGCTTGGTGGAGCAGTGTTCTCTCTGAAATTGGAGAATGTTACTACTATTGTTAAGTCAACCCCTAAAAGTGTGTTGTGGACAGAGAAATGGTGTTGGACCTTCTGTGAACTGTCACGGTGTTGGTGGATTGTTTTCAGAAATCAGGAGTCCATTTGCAGTTGATGATCATGTAAACTTCCCTCCCACCATTGCTTTGGTTTCATATATCTGATTCTGTAATTTTTTACTAGAAGAGATACTTTTATCACTATCATTACTAACAATTTTTATTCCTTTAATGAATCATTTGAATGGCAAAACTAAGAATTTTCTTTTTTCTCTCGTCTAGGTAAAAACCATGTAGTTAATATTTCTTCCACTTTTGTTTGGTTTGTTTCTGTTGCAGGAATGTGAAGAAAGGGAGCAGAAAAACAGGCAAAAACTGTATGGCCTTGAACAAATGTGTGCACAACTGACCCAGGAAAACAATTCCATGAAAAATACGTTATCAAGTGGTCACAAGGAGGGCTCACCCCTGCTGGCAGCCTGTGCGCTGCTGTCAGGGGCCTTGTGCTCTCTCTATGGCCGACTCTGCACTATGCCTTGCCAAAGAGACATTCTCCAGGAACAGATGAACCAGCACCAATTATTGAAGGAGAAGATCATCAGCCTCCTTTATGCTCTCCCTACTGTGGTGGAAAGAAACCAAGACGAAGGCAGGCTGAGGCAGAGGAGAGCCAAGAACCTGGTTTATGTATTCCGAAGAGCTGTGATTGCAGTTCTGGCTGCTAACAGGCTGAGGGCTCTGGCCCGATATTCTTGTACCTTTTTTGTCTGGACGGATGGCTCCAGAGGAAGCACTGGAATTCAAGTTTGTGTGGGAGAATCCAGAGGAAGGCATCCTGTACCACGTAAGTGAAATGTTCTTAAAATGTTATGTCAAATTATGTGCTTAGGGAATAACAAAGAGCAATATTATTGCTATTGCTAGGTCATAAAGACATATTTAATGACATTCTGACAAATATTATTTATGGATTTATGTTTTTTATGTTTCTTCATGAAAGTATTTCACTCTAAGAGCAAATGCCTACTCTTATGTTAAGCATTGCAAGTAAAATTGCAATTATGCACATGAACTCAACACTATCTGATATCCTTGATATTTGTGTTACGGATTTCATAACCAGGCACTGCAGCATCTTCTCTGTGGTAAATATCTTGCAATGTTCCTAAATTATTAACTGTCACCTTTTTTTTTTCTTTTGAAAAAGTATTTCCTCTTCTTTTTGTAATAATTTCTAATACCTATTTCCTACCAAAATTCCTACCATTTTCCACAAAAATTGCTTTCTGATTCAGGTAAAATATTAGCATAGGATTTTGAAATTTTCTTTTGAGGTTATATCTACTTGCCCCTTTCTGTTGCCAGACCAGTTTATACTTCCCTGTAAAAGGATAAATAGTATCAAAAATGCTTTGCCAATTAGAAGATTAATCTACTTTTTTTAAGTAATTCTGGAAGCATGCTTAAAACAGTCTAAATTGTTCTGTCTAATTTGTTGTTTATAGGCTTATTTTTGGTTAATTTCTGAAAGAGCTGGAGATAGCAGTGTGCCATATCTTAGTGATTCAGTTATCCTGCTAGCTGCAATTCACTTTCACAGGTTTTGGAGAGGAAGGAGTTGACTGTATGGAAGCACTTCAGTGGTTGACTAGCTCTAACCTCTATACTGCAATAATCAGTTCCATCTCGGAACTGCAGGATGTTCTCAACAGCCAAGGTAATTTTAACTGTGTATTGTTGTAGCAGAAATATATTTTCAAAATAAATAAGTCAGATTGGTTATATAATTTCAATTTTTATGATTTTATCTAAACTGTTCTGGATCACAGCTCTGAAGAGGTATTTCTGAATATTTATGATAGACACCTTTGACTAGAGATTATATCCTGAGCTAGTCAATACAAATTTTAGTGGGACTGTTTCCCTAAGGAGTAATTTCATTGCAGGATAAAATAATAACTCTTTTCTGCATTCTCTGAATGATCACATCTCTGTACTGTTGGAACAGATTCATTTTCTTTAGCATCTGATAGAATATTTTATCCTTTCAGTATATAGAGCCATGGAAGCTGAAGGCTGGAGAGTGTTTATGGAGTTTATTTACAGTGAGAACTGATACAGGCTCCCTTGGTTCATCTGCATTGCTGCCATCCCTGGTTCTTTATTAAACTCTACTTTTAGAGTCCCCACATTTTTGTCACAGAAAAAAGGATAGCAGAAGAGGGATAATTTATGTGAATAAAGGGACACAGCAGGACAAAGACAAGGCGATGCATTTTCCAAAAGGCTAAACACTAAATTGGTATAAACGTTGCCATTGAATCAAATGTGTTTAGATTCAGTTTCAGGCATTTTCTTCTTTGATCATGCTGTTTTCAATAAATTGAAAATCAAAAAGCAAAGTTTGAACAGTGTTTCAGATTCAGTATTCTGTGTTTCAGAATATTTACAGGTTCCATCTTGTATAAATGAAAAAGAATGGTGTATTACAAGAAATGGGAACTAATAACCTGCTTGATGTTTCCTTTGTGTTGTTGTTTCTTAAAGATGCAGAGTCCTGGCTTTCTGGACATTCACTTATCGGTGCAGCCAGGAACTGCTTCGCAAAACTGATGGACAACCTGAGCGTACTGATGGAGACAGTTCAACGGAACACTTGTGGGTATAGACCTTACCTGGAGAGGGACTCCCTGATAGACAGGCTGGCTCGTGGGCTCCGCAGACTAAATGCCCAGGCCCTGGAAGCTGGATTGTATGACAGACTGCCCGGCACAGTAAGCGGATTACAGTCCTCCTTCAGGAAAATAGAAGGTTTACAGCAATGGTGAAGCTCCCTTGACAGCACCATTTATTTTGTTTCAGGCTGGTTGTGAGTCCATGACAATGAAGTACCACTGTATGGATACTCAGAAGTAGATTTGTCACACATTAGGGTGTGAATAGGTCTTTTTGTTTATTGTCAAAGAATTTTTGGAGGAGGGTTAGTGTATCCAAGTAAAATATTTTTTTCCAAGTTCTATCGCATCTTTTTTAGCTTATAAGAACAAATTTGCCTGTGGCTTGACGTAAGTGTTAAGGTTGCTTTTTATTATGGTCTTTATTTTCTCATGTTTACCATCCTTTCTTTCAGTAAAGATAACCTTCTTCCCTTTAACCAAAATGAAAAGACAAACACTTTCTCTCATAATCTTTTATAGTAGACTTTAGGTGAAAATAGTAATTCTTTGTAAACAGAATTTTCAGTAACCCTTGGTAGGTGACAGGTTCAGACTTTTGTGTATGTCTTTTAGAGAGAGAGGAATAAATGATAGTTTTGTCTTCACTTTCTTGGGTCCTAAATATGATTTATTTTCTTGCTAAAATAGCAGATTTTATAGCCCACCAACTTGTTTTTGTTTGCTGACAGAGAAACATAGCAATCTTGCAGCAAGAAATATTTGGATTTTTACGAAGGCTTCATGCAGCAGAGGTAGAGTCCCACTCACTGCACCTGCAGCTTGCAGAATGTGGATGGGCTTTCAGTGAGATGCAGAAAGATGCTGAAGAAGCCTGCAGACTGCAAGAGCAATTAAATGAACTTCAGCATGTAAGTACATTTGACTTGGAGACTCTCTTGCTTAAAAGAGATTCTCCTTTCTACACATTTTTTATTTGTTTTATTTTGGAAAACAAGCATAAAACAGATTTACTTTCAATAGAATTTTCCAGAAAACTTGTTCAGTAAATGCCACTAAACTAGAAGACAGATGTATTTAGAAATACCCTTTTTCCACTGGAGTTTCCTTTTGATTTGTAGAAGGAGGTATCCTGTATAAATTACAGTTTGGTCTTCAGCAATCCGGGTTCTCCCATTTGCTGGAAATGTTGATGTGATTTATGTATCCTAAAAGAAGATTTCACTTCCACAGAGTAAAGTCAGCTGGAATGAACATATTCAATAAGATTGTTCATGAGAAGTTCATGACATATAAATTTAGCAGTTTAAACTCTGAATGGATGTTGATGAATAACATAGTAATGGATGTTGTTATAATAAATACAATACAAATTTTAGTGGGTCTGTTTCCCTGAAGAAGTTACTTTATGGCAGGAGAAAAAGCATTCTCCAACATTCTCAGTAGCACAAATGCCCAAAATTCCCCTGAGTCTTTTGCTGTTGCTGATTGACTTACTGAAACACTGTGGGTTCCCTAACCTGAAGCCGAGTTGGTAGAACCTGTCAGTGTGTCCCAATCCAAACACTTCCAAGCAGAGAATATCTGCTAGATAATGTCTCACCCATTGTCCTTCCTGTTCCTAGCTAGTAAAATGGATTTTTTCTTACTCAAAAATCTCTAATCATCTTCAGTTTTGTTCTTAACAGGTTTTATTCCCTTAGTGGTTTTGGGACAGTTAGATGAAAGTTGTCACATTTTAGGTTGTAGTTGAAATGTAGATGATGACTTTCCTTGAAGAATTATTTCTTATGTCTGGAACAGTTCTTGGAGGAGAAGAACAGTCGGCAAAGGTGTTTACAAGGATTAATAAGCTGTCCATTAAGTTTCTGAATACTGATCTGTGTATTTTTCCTTCTAAATATTGAAGTTTTGCATCCTAGGGTGCTACTTTGACAAGAATAATGAATGCCAAGACTTTACATGAATGTTCTTTTTGAAAAACACAGTAATTAACTGGTCTGCCATTTTACTGTTCAGTGATTTGTCTTGATGGTAAGAAAACCTCAATACTAATCCTAAGCACGCATTTGTTTTGGAATTTGGTGGGTTTGCAAGTGAAACTCACTTAGTGGTGGGGAAAGCACTGAATATAATTACAGAATCAGGCAAACTTCTTTCTCTTTCCAGAGAATCAACCAAGACAATATACACAAGGAGTTAGATAATGCTTTGCAGCGTGAGCATGAGGCACAATTACTTTTACAAGAGCACCACCAACGGATTCAGGAGCTGAGTAATACACTGGAATTGCACTCATGTGCCAACAAAGATAGAAGCCAAGTCTCCAATGTACCTCTGATGGTAATGTTATTCTTCTGGAACAGTCACCAGAGCTTTACCTTCTGTTAAATAAGCCAAATAGTGCAGTCCTTGTATAAATAAAATAACAGGAGTAAATACACACACTACTCAGTCTTCTGAGAATTTTAAGCTACTGAGAAAACACTTCAAAGACTCAATTTTTTTCTTAAGCTATGGATGTTTTATTTTTAGCGATTTAAGAAAAAGTCTTCAGTGAGGGTTTGATTTGGGCTTTTTACCTACAATAATTTTGTTTTCTAAAACTTATTTATACGTTGCAAATATACTAAAAACTGGGGGGATTCTGAGTCATTAATGCTAGGAAATTCATAAAACCTTAGGATGCAGTGGTCCAAATCTACTTCACAATAAATTTGTCTTCCATGTTGGTCAGTAGCCAGTGGCATAAAGTGAAGTTTATTTGGGCTAAATAGCAACTCTGCTCTCTGCTGGCAGAGCCTCTCTAATGCAGCGGAGGAGCTGAGGAGAAGAGACCAAGCTCTGGATCACCAGAATAGACTCCTGAAAGACACAGAGCAGTACCAGCAGCGGCTGCAGGAGACTCTCCAGGAGGCAGAACGTGCCATCCAGGAACAGGGAGCAATGTGAGCTCTGGGGCACAAGGGGATATCACTTTAAATGTATAAAAATTTAAATTCCTACTTCCATGGGCAGCGTTTTAGCCCTGGACAGTGTAAGGTTAGAAGAGCAAAGTACATCTGTCTCCTTTTTTTTGAAATTCAGACATAGTCTTCTAAAAACAAAAGTGTTAGTTCAAAATACTAGGTCATACATTTTATGCAGTTATCCCATAATAGTGCTCCAAATGCTGGGTGCTGAAATATCTGGCAAACAAAAGACCTGTCCGATTTTACTGATCTGATATCTCTTTGGCAGATCCTTAAAGTTCTGTTTATTTAAGAAAGGATTGTTAGTTCTCTGTGTTTCCATGCCATTTTGTTATAGACAGATACAATTTATTTATAGTAAGTACAGAATCATCAGCTAGGGGAAAGTCTTCACTGCCAAAGGGACTGAAACCCATTTTGGACCTAGTCTTTCCTTTGGTACAAGACAGATCTTCCAGCTGATTTCAGGGAGTTTTGGATTTACAGCTAATCCCCATACCACTTACACCACAATGTAGAGTGGAAGGAAAGGCTCTGGCACTGGTTTTGAAAAGACTGGTAGTCAAAAGGAGCCCCCATGACTTGAAGGAGCTTGTTACTAACCAATTCTTTCACCATATGGTCAGATTAAAAAAAAAAAAAACAACAACTTTGCAGACTTCGTTTTCTAATACTTACCGTAGTATGAAGCACGTGTTATGAATATTGTTGTTCCATGGCTAGGATCTAAAAGAGCTTTAGTCATACATGGGTTCATTTGACCTCTGAGGACCAAAATCTGAGAAACTTTAAGGGCTTTATGCACGAGGGAAATAATGCCATTTGTATAATCCTCAGTGAAATGTTTGCCAAGCTAATGAAAATGACAAATGTTATTTGGTAGGATTTGACCAAAGCAGCTGTCACCTGCAGAAGGATTTGTTCTAGAAAGCTTGTCCTTTCCATCCTAATCACCCCAGTCTATTTTGGACATTCTTCTTTGTGGCCACACATATATCCAGAAAAGATTTTTTTCATGTGAAGAGACTTTAAAAATCGCTTTTTTTTTTTCTGTGTATAGCAACTGATTATCACCAAAGACAACTTTCCCTTCATTGTTCTAGCAGCTCTTCACAACAAATAGGGGTTTTTTCTCCCTTTGGAACGTATAAGCAAAGCAGATGAAATAAACAGAATCTGTCAGTGTTTTGCAATACAAGAATATAATACCATCCTGCTAGAGACTTTTAATGACCTCTATATCCAAGCCATGATAGTTGTTCATTGATAGGAATATAATTACATTAATTTTAATTGCTTATCCACAACTGAAGCATCTTTCATATGGAAATGCACCAAATGCACCAATATGAACTATTTTTAGCATTTGCATTGGAGATATGAAAAAGAGAGAAAATCTTAACAGTTTATCAGTAATTATTTTACAAGACATCAAAACCATAAAGTAGCTGAAGAATGATTTTTACATTGGAAGAGCTTCAGTTCTATAAAGTTACTCCATTGTTTTGTTTGTTTCTTTTATGATAGAGATGAAGAGTTGATCATTAATCATGTGAAAGCTGTGGAGGCCACCCTGAATGAGGTAAGAATTTGAAGTGCTCCCTCTGACTTGTGTTCCAAACATGCCAAACCCTTAGAACTGTTTATCCTCAGGGGAGGAGAAAAGTTGTTGCAAAGCAACTTCCTTTCCTTAGAGTTGAAGTTTCCTCCCTCAACTTCTACCATCTTAAAAACTACAGTGGAATAAAATGCAAGTTTGTAGTATAACAAAACTTGTTCTAAATGTAGAAGTTATGACAAAATTCACTTTCCTTCCCTTGCTGAGCACTATTTCTGGTTGCCAAGACTAATGCAACATACAAAAAATTGTGATTGTTGTGGTTAACCCTCTACTGAATAATGAGAGATCACATACTTGGTGGCCATAAAACATTTGGCTTTGTGTCTGCTACTTTAACGTCTGAAACATTATAAATAGGAAAAGAAAATGCAGGAAGTCATAATCTGTGGTCAGAAACTTCCATGGTATTTTTTTAAAGCTCATTTTAAATCTAATAATAATCTCAAGTTTTCTCTCTGACTTGTGCAAGTGTAGCCTGGTATAGGACTATTTGAAGGTCCAACAAAGCTGTACATATTAATTATTTAGGAGAAAGGAATATTTTCAACTGTAGCTCTGATGGTGGATGGTTTTATAACTGCTTTTAATCTACAGCAGCGCTAAGCAAAAGAAATGTTTTCATTACCTTGGAGTGTCGATTTCCCTTACTACATCTTTAATTCCTAGCAAAATGGGAATCTCTTCTTTATTTTACTGTCTGTATTCACCAAAACTGTTGTTAACTTTATTTTCAGATACCTTTTTCAAGTCTCTTTCCTATAATGTTCATTGAAAGTGACAGAACCTAAACTGCGTGTTTCACTACAGCAAACTGTGCTGATAGGAAATTTCCTTTGTGCCACCACCATCTTCATACTGACTTCTTTCAAACTTTGGAAGTGAATGTCATGCAGCAACTGCTGTGTTTTACAGTAATACGTACGTCGTGCCATGTTCTTGGCCTTTCTCTTTTCAGGGCAGGGTAGTTTGTTTTCTTTTTTTTTTTTTGGGGGGGGGGTTTTGGTAGCATTCTCTCCTAGCACTGTGAATGAGAAATTTATTTGCAATGAAAATTCAATCAGTCGTACTTTATTCATGTATGTTAGGTCCAGTGATTAATGCAAGTCCCCTCAACGGGCTCAAGGGGACACAGTTCATCCCCGCTGGTGTGTCTGAAGGAGAATAACCACTGATGCTGGGGTATTTTCCCTTTAGGTCAGAGAAGAGGCTGTGGCATCAGATGCTGCAGCAGCCATGCCACTCCCCAGCCTGAAGACCCTTTCAGAGGAAGCAATGAGAGACAGGCCAGAGACTAGCTCATTCCAGGTTAGAATCTAAAACCAATCCTGTTGGGTTTTTTTTTTATTATTTTCTTTCTTTTTTTTGCATCTGAGCTACAACAGGCAGACAGATTATGCTCTGAGCATGTGGAGAACAAGTATTGCAGTCAACAGTTCAAAGAATTTCCATGTATACTCTTGCACATGGTATTTCAGAGATAATGTCAGCTTTCAGTTTTGCAGTTACAGTATTAAATAACGGATGGGAAAACAAACATGGACAGAAATATATATATTTGGAAATTAATATCTCTCTATCCTCCTCACTTTTTTTCCCATTAATATACACAAGACTAATTAAGAAAAACCCACAAACAAAACCAAAACTAAGATCCTCACAAAAAAGCAAAACCAAACAAACAAAAAGATGAGATTTGCAGGCTCCTTCTTGGTCAGTATCAGATTTTTTTCAATCCACAGTTCTAGAATTAACTGTGGTGTTTAGAGCATTCCTCTAGAGATTGCTATTTAGAATGTTTAAATATAGAAGCTATTTTGCTTATGTAGGTTTAAAGACTTGCACATTTCAAAATACTGATTTTTTTAGGACAAAACAATAAGTGGAAAAAAAAGAGAAATTTAGCAATAATGTGCCATATTTTCAGCTCTGAATGCAGACTCAGTGCAATGAATCCTTATTGTTTGCAAGTTTGGTCTTCTACATAAACTATGCCTTAGTCTTTATAGTTGTGCAGAATACTTTAGTGCTAAACAGATTTTTTTTCCTAATGAGAGAGCAAAAGTCGGAGTGAGTACATATTTCTTTCATTGTACTTCTCTGTCTGAATTAGAGAGAGAGTAGGTAATGAAGTAAACTGCAAGGAACTTAGACAAGGTAAGTATTGTATACAGTGTGTAAGCTCAGTGATTCCTTCCAATTGATTGTAGATTTTTCTGTTCTAATGCAGTATAAATATATAATTGCAGGATCGAGGTCACAAAATCAAACATTCAAGAAAGGCAGATTCCAAAGTGGAAATTTCTCACTGTTGCCTTCTTGCATGCATACATATATTTCAATATGATAAAGACATAAATTATGTGTGCATTATCATGTTTCCACGCTAAAATATGGAAATATGAAATATATAATGCCTTAAGAGTCCAGTGAGGTTTAATTAGCACGGATGAACTTTTTTGTCAAAGGGTGGAATTACAAATATTTCCCCAGTACAGTGATGATCCATTTTAGAGCTGCACAAAAGGTCCCAGAGGTGGCATCTTTCCACAGGAGGCATTGTAGCAATCACCAGCTTTTAAATCCTGATTTTCTAATTTGGTAGTGGATGCTGCTTTTTTTCCTTTTTTTTTTTTTTTAAGTCCCATGCCAACTCCCATTCTTTTTTGACCTCACAATGATTGCAGAAACATGTGCAGCCTGTTCCCTCTTTCTCTCCAGAAGAGAATCATAAACACAAAAAGCTGCATTTCATATTTGCACAGAGTGCTTGTGGTATGAATAACATAGTACAGTATGTTCTGGGAAGCTTGCTGCTGGGCAGAACTGTAAAGTTCTTGTTCACGTAGCAGCCTCAGGTGCAGTTGGTAACTCAGGACGAAGAGCACCAATGGCTCAGTCCGTGTCACTGTGAACTTCCTTTTCTCCACCCCTTTTTCTCTTTCTCCCTTTTCACATCTCTCTTTCCCCCTTTTCCCTCTCTCTCTCCTCTGCCCTTATCCTAGTTCCTGTTTGATTCCTTTCCAAGCACATTATTGAGGTTTTATGATAAAATTTGCCTTTTTATAGACAGAGGTCACCTTACAGATTTTAATTTTACTCCATGCCAAACTGTATTAAGGGCAATCCTGTAATCTTGAGTGAGGTAAGCATTTAGGAGTCTTTTTAGGGACACTTGTCACTGAAAACAGTGGAGTTGTTTGCAGGTACATCCTGTAGAACTGCCTTAGTTAGTCTGTGATGAGCATATTTCAATTAAAGGCCTTATAATCTGCAAGAATCCTCTGTTAGGACTAGAACCAGAGAACCAAGACATTTTGAAGGTTTTTTCTGGTGAACAAAATATGTGATATGGGTTAATTTGCCACTGCTGTTTCCTAGACACCATAGTGAAACAACCTGTTTGATTTTAGCTGGATTAACATCTATTCTGAAGATCAGCAATGTGAAACCAAGGAAAGGAAAACTGAAAAATCTTTGTAAATCCCTGTTTGTGGTACTAAGCTGATTTTTGTCTGTATCACAGGTTTACATTCAAAAGTCCAATTTCATACTATCTGAAGGGAAAAATTATAACAAATAAAATATGATTACCCATTGTAAAGAAGACCAATAATTTCAACAGTTAGTTGTTGTTCCACAGTAGTAGACTACTTGGGGTGGATATAAAGTTACCATTACTGCCAAATCATCTGTGCTCTCTTGTCCTGCTAACTTTATCATCAATCTTAACCAATAAAACAAAATTGGGACATTTTTACTACATACATGGAAACAGTTACATTATTCCAGTTATAGTGCAATCAGGTTATTTGTTTTCAGAGGTCTGCAGGTTTAAAATGTTTCTTTTGTTACTGCAAGCTAATTTTTTTGCTGTGGAGTGGAAGGATTAGTAAATTGACTTGTCTTGGAAGTGTGAACATTAGCTTGAAACTAAGTGGTAATTTTTTGTGAACAGAAATTGAACCTGCAGTGAGTCTTGTATTTAAATAAAATGAAAAAAATTTATCAAGAGCTCAAGGCCGTACTCCATGCTTGAAAACGTCAAAGCATTTTCTAACTAGGGTGTGGACACATTCCCTGCTCCTCAATTACATTAGTATTCAACATTCTAGATGAAATACAAAATCCAGTGTTAGACCGTTTTGATGTTCAGGTCCTGGGACTGAGAATCTGCCTGGCTTTCAAACTGTATTTGATTTCTCTGCTAAAAAAAAAAAATCTGTCTTTTGTAACAAATTTGGATGTGTGCTATTTGGCATTTAAGTGTAGCTTGCCTGGCACTAATGATTCCTTTTACTTTTATTTAAAGAACATGTTTAGACATCTTAGGGATCTCTACTCACTGGCAGCTGCCGGAGTTGAAGCATTAACAGGAAGACAATCTTCACAGGCTCACGTTGAATCTGAAGCAGCTTTTGTGCCTCTTATTCCTGCTACTGATGGTAAGTGTGCTTTGCAAGCAATTACAGTCACTTGGATGTGGGTTCCCAGACAGCATCTCCCTTCATGCTGCACAGCTTCTGTAGGAAAATACAACAACACTTAATTGTAAACATAACGAAGCAATAAAATTAGTGCAAACAGAAATGTTCAGAGACATTTTTCAGAAGAGAAAGAAGGTGGTGAAGGTTAGCGCAGCACTTAAAATTAGTACTGTATTTTTGTTTCTATTGGTCATTATTTGGTTAGGGTCTTTTTTTGTTGTAGTTCGAATGTTGCTTGGTTGGATTTGTTTTGGTTTTGGGGAGTGGTGATAGTGGGTGGGTATGTGTTTGGTTTTTGAGTTGTTTTTTTTTTAATATTACTATACTTCCTCCTTTCCTGGAACTTTGCTTCCCTTCCATTTCCTTTCCTTTCAATTTCCTTTCCTTGCCTTGAAATTTCCTTTCCTTGAAACTTCCTTGAAATATCTTTTCCTTTTCCTGAAATTTTCTGTCCTTTCCTTGAAATTTCCTTTCGTTTCCTTGAAATTTCCTTGCCTTGCCTTGAAAT